AGATTCACTGCCTATTGACAGATTTAACCAAATCCCATTTGTGTCAGTAAAAACTTAAAAAAAAAAAAAAAAGCAAGGGAGAGTACGTGAATTCAAAGACATTGTTTAAGGCAGGTTTCCTCAACCTGAGCACCAGTCACATCTTGGACCAGATCATTCTTTGTGGTGGGTGTCATCCTGTGCATCAGAGAGCATTCGGTAACCTCCCTGGCTTCCACTCACCAGAGGACAACAGCAGCCCCTCCCAAACTGTGACACCCAAAAATGTCCCCCCCGGGGCATAATCAAAAATGATAACAATCGTTCCGTCTGGGAAATGAGGCTGGGGTTGGGATCAGTGAGAAGATGAAAGGCACTTTTTTCTTTTGGTCCTTCTCTGCTGCTTACATTTGAAATTCATGACTAGGCATTAAACTTATAATAACAATGAGTTTATTGCTAAAATAAGTTACCTCCATTCAAGGGACACACACAGCTGTTGAATAAAATGAGGTGAATCTCTACATCTGACATGCTTCTGCCTCCATAACAAACAACAGCAATGCTTAACACGTTTGGTCTCAGGACTCCTCTACACGCTTAAAAATTACAGGGGACCCCAAAAGCATTTGTTTCTGCGTGTTATGTCTATTGATATGTAACATATTCAAAATTCAAACAGAGGAGACTTAGTCTGTACTAAACTCAGGAAAATAATAAACTCATTGAATGTTTACATAGACAACTTATTTTGGTGAAAAATAAATGCATTTTCCCAAACACACACAAAAATGTAGTGGTGTTGGCCAATATTTTTGAGAATCCATTCAATGTTTGTGCTACTAGAAGAAAGCAGCGTTCTCATATCTGCTTCTGCATTCAATCTCTTGTGGTACCACCCATCATGAAGCCACAAAAAGACTCTAGACCCTATACACTCATGAGAGACTAAAAGTGAAAAAGGCAAACCATATCTTAGTATTCTTGTAAAGGTGGTTTTGACCTCATGGACCCCGTCAACAGGTTTCAGGGATGCCCCAGGGTCCCTGGGCCACACTTTGAGAGCCACTAACATGTGTATGTAGTATTATTCTGTAAATTAACTGACTGGGTAACACGGTGTAAGAATGATGATAGATGGGGGATGCCTGGGTGGCTCAGTCGGTTAAGCGGCTGCCTTCGGCCTGGGTCATGATCCCAGGGTCCTGCGATCGAGTCTCACATCGGCTTCCTAGCTCAGCAGGGAGCCTGCTTCTCCCTCTCTCTCCCTCTGCTTGTGCTCTCTCTGTCAAATAAATAAAATCTTTAAAAAAAAAAAAAAAGAATGATGATAGATGGGGCACCTGGCTGGCTCTGTTGGTAGAGCATGCAACTCTTAATCTCAGGGTCTTGAGTTCAAGCCGGAGACTTCTTAAATCAAAGAAAACGATGATAAATAGATGGAACTATGTGGCTTCAGCATACTCAGAGGTGTACAGCTTAGTGGTTAAGTGTGGTCGGTTCAGGAGACCCCCAGGATTCAAATCTTAGCTTGACCACTTACTAGCTGTGTGACCAGGAAAAGGTTGATTTATCTCTCTGCACCTCCAGGACCTCATTTATAAAAATGGAATGAATAGAAAAGCACCAGTTTCCCTGGGTTATTGAATGCAAAGTGGCTGGCACATAGGAAGCCGTCGATAAATTATGCAAGTAATTTATGCAAACTGTCGTTATTAAGCATCCTTGAAAAAAAACAATAAGGTAGTGTTATATAACAGATACTAGATATTCTCCATAATACATTGCCATGTGAAATTGGGAGGTGCAGAACTATGTGTATATGATGATAAATGCTGTGTCCAATATACATGTATGAGCTACATATTCACCTGTGTGTGGATTTAAACACACATGTATATACTTCAATATGCAACTAGATTCTTGAAATTGTACATGGTATGATGAAAATACCTCAGGGTGTGGGGGACTTCTGGATGTCAAAAGTTCAGAAGGACTGACTTTTCACAGCATTTTTTTAAAGATAAACAAATTTTTAATCTTTAAGATCCCATTCCATTTTCAAAATGTAAAAAACAGAACAACAACCAAAAAAAAAACCCCACAAAAACTTGGTTGGTTCTTTTTTTAAAAATAACATAAGCTTTAGGACATTAGGTTGTTAAGTTCTGGACAAAATGAGCAAATGTCCAGCAAACGTCCAGCACTTGCACCAAAACTGCCCTTTCTGCAGGCAAGACAGACAGCACCAGTCAGCCCAATCAACGGGGACATTCCCACGGAGCAGATAGATACTCAAAATCCCTCTCCACACCATGCTCCAGGAAGCCAGTAGGAATCGATTCGTCTTGACAAAGGAGCTGAAACATCTTTGCCATCCCAGATCTCAAGCATGACCTCCAGAAATTCCTGAAACCATTGGAAATGACTCAGAATATTTCCCTCAGGGAGTCTGATCCTGCTGAATCTTATTCTTCCCTGCTAACCTGCCCCCATCACTCTCCCTGTTCCAGAGGGATTTGGAGTCCTTCTAGCTCACCCCCCCCCTTTTTACAGAAAAAAGAAACTGAAGCCCCAGAGATTAAAAGACTTCTCAAGGTCACAGGATGAGTTTGCATCAAAGTCATGGGTGAAATAGAGTGGCTTGAGAGAGGAGGTTCTGGGACCAGGCAGGCCTGGGTGGAAATTCTCCTCTGCATCTTACCAGCTGGGTGATCTTATCTTCCCAAGTGCTAGTTTCTTCATCTACAAAATGGGGCTGTGTGCAATGCCTAGTTCCAGGAGGTTTGGGAGAATCCAACGAGCTAACACATGGAAAGTGCTCAGCGCAGTGTCTGACACCTAATGATAGCTTGGAGAGTGTGGTCGTGATGGTGGGAGCTGTCCTGACCACCTCCAAGAATCTAAGTCCCAACAAGGCGAAGAGCCAAAGGGCTAGCACTGCTTCCTTCTCAACACACTTCAAGAAGAAGCTTATTAAACATTCAGGCTGTTTTCAATCCCTCTGTGGAGTAGGTGAGATCACAGATCTTAGGGCCCACTTGGAAGCCTCTGATAGGGGGCTGCTGGGAACATCTCATCAGATCACCTTCGGCAGGAAAGTGTGCATCTCATAGTAGGTGTTCAATCAACGCAGCAGTGATGGCTCAATAGAGCAACATTAGGAGAATCCACTGCTCCCCAGTGAGCAGGGAAGGAAGCTGAAATCTTGGCACCCGATGAACTTACTTTCAGCTCTACCTCTGCCACTTTGTACCTAGGTGACCCTGGGTGAGTCATTTCACTTCCATGGCCCTATCTGCAAAATGACTTCAGTAAATTCAACATGTAGGCTTGGGGAGAGAACCCAATGAAGCAATAAATGTAGAAGGAAGGCAAGCAATAGTAACAGTACTCTAAGTGGTCATGGTAACACCAGGAGTTAGTTTTTATTGATCCTGATGGGTGTCACTTGCTGTCCTACATGCTTTACACGGACTGAATTATCAAGTGCTGCTGTTAATAATTAAGATGATTAAGCAACTTAACAAAGACCAATCTAACCTTGTTTCTGCAGGACTCGAGGCCCCCACCCTGGGGGCAGAGACCAGGACCCAGACCCTCTATCCAATACCCTCCCCCTTGGCAGGCGGAGACGTGTTTGAAATAAAGTTTATTGAAGTTTCTGTCGGTATTTACATATGATACACGGCAAATATCAGAGCCAGGCCCCCCACCCCCCTCCCCCCAAGCCCCCCCTCCCCCCAGCCTCGTTAAAAATCACTGCGTAAAGACAGGTTAACTGCTGCGGTCCCCCCTCCCCCCTCCCACCTAAGATGCAAACTAAAAGCCCCCGTCCCTCCCCTGCCCCCCTCCCCCCACCCCGGGGGCCTTTCTGGTTCCGTGTACAACACTGTGCTACCTCGCCCCCGCTCCCCTAATAAGGGGGGAGGGCGAGTTTCTGGTGACCTTGCCCCCAGATCTGTCCAAGGGGGCGGACGGACCCTTGAAAGAGGCCAGAGTTGGGGGTCTGAGATGGGAAGGGGGACTTCGATGAGGGGGAGTGCCAGAAAATGGAAGACTTGGAGGTTTGGGGGGTTTCGACCCCCGCTACTGCCTCTCCCTCCCCCGACGGGGCCTCGAGGGGGAAGAGGCGGGCACAGGTGTGGAAATGGCACGGAGGAATTCCCTCCACCCTAGGGTCTCCATCGCTGTCGTGTGGCGTGCGGGGCTAGATGCACCTAGGGGCGTTGGGTGAGCGGGGAGAAAGGAGGGAGACAGAGCTGGAGGAGGAGTTAGAAGAGGAAGAAAAAGAGGCCAAGGGCCGCTGGGAAAGCAAGGAGATCCTTCCGACGGCGCCCCCTAAAAGGCAGGTGACCTTCAGGAGGCCGAGAAGAGCCCAGCGGGTGAGGAAGAATGGGGCCTCCCAGGGGAGCAGAGAACTGGGTGGGGGGGACACCAGGTAAAGCAAGCCCCGGCCTCCCGCTCCACACCCCACCCCGCAGCTGCGGGCGCAGCAGGAACACCGGCCGCTGCACCCGCGGACCCGGAAGGTCCGGAGATGAGATCGTGCGGGGGAAAGACAGAAGTCGGGGCCGAGGGGACAGGAGGATGGTTGGCATTCCGGGCGGCTGCCGAACCTACTCTCCAGCCCGGCGCCCCTGCGGCGAGGCAGCACGCTGTGGGTCTCCGGCTGGGTGCGCGCCTGCCCCGCGGGCCCCAGGCGCGCACTGCGCGCAGCAGGGAAACCGCGGCCCGGAAACTGGAGGGGAGAGGCGGGGCCAGAGGAAAGGGGCGGGCCCCGGGGGAAGGGGAGGGTCCGTCTGCGAGTGGATCGGACCGAGGAGGTCGAGAGGCCCAGAAGGGGGAGGAGCCCTTGGAAAGTAGGAGGGGCTAGGACGGCGGGGCGGGGCCACCGGGAAGAGGGCGGGGCTAAAGCGTGCGCAGCATCCTCCCGGAGGGATCGAGAAGTCCCGAGGGAGGGAGCGGAGCTGTGGGGCCCGGAGACCCCAGAGAAGGAGGAGGAGGAGGAGGAGGAGCAAGAGAAGGAGGAGGAGGGAGCGCCGAGGGGCGGGCCTCAGCAGGGCGAGGTGGAGATGTGCAGGTGGTCCGGGTACTTGATGGCGGGAGGGTAGTTCTGCGTCATCTGGATGGAGACGTCGCTGGAGATGTCGGAGGGGCTGCGGCCGCGGCGCCACGCCTCGGGCTGCAGAAACTGGCCCGAGTAGTCGGAGCAGTCGCTGAGACGCGGGCGGTAGAAGGCCGGGTGCGGACGGTACATCTCCTCCTCTGCGTAGCGCTTGGTGAACAAGTACACGGACATCACGCCAGCCCCCTGTGGCAACGCATGGTCAGGGTCCCAGAGGCTGGCCCCGAGGGCCCAAGGACCCCAAGACTCCAGACCCCCCCAGCCCCTCCTCCCTCAGACCCAGAAGTCCAGGCCCGCAGCCCTCTCCTCTTTCAGACCTAGGAGTCAGGGACCCCAGCCCCCTCCTCCCTCACACCCAGGAGTCCAGACCCGCAGCCCCTCCTCCCTCAGACCCAGGAGTCCAGGTCCCCAGCCCCCCCTCCTCCCTCAGACCCAGGAGTCCAGTCCCCCTCCCCCCCCCCCCCCCCGGACCCCCATAAGTTGGGAGCTGTTAGACCCCTCCTCCAGGACCCTGGGGTTAGGCCCTCAGCCACCACCTCCCTTTTAAATCCAGAGTCTACACCCCCAGTTTCCTCTTCGTCCTGGACCCAGGAATGAGGCCCCCCCAGACCCCTCTCCATTCACGTCTGGGCCCCACAGACATCACCTCTTTGAGTAGGAAGGAGGAAGCAGCGAAGGCAAAAGACCACCCGTAGCGATAGTGGAAATACTGCTCAGAGCTGCTGGGCCTGTTCATGACCTCGTCATTGATGCTGGAAATGTAGAGAACCAAGCCCACCACCAAGGAGAGGCCTGGGGAGCAGAGGGTGCCCTTGGTCCGTTAGCAGTGGACCCCTCTCTCCGGCCCCTCCCCCATCTCACTGCCATCCCCTCCCCCTTTCCTCCCTGCTCTGTCTTGAACTAAATTCCATTTTTTGAAGCCCCTTGTGTGCTGGGCCTTGGCTGGCTGCAGGGGTCCCAGAGATGAATGAACTTCCTCTTTTCCCCTCCCCTAATCTCCCTTCCAGGAGTTCACAGTGCAATTGGGGAAGGCAAATATGGACGTTGGTGGATAGTCACATACACGGTGACATGCGCAGTAAGGGAGGTAGTAGCAAGAGTTCTGTGGGTCCAGAAGAGGCACCAACCCACCTAGGTGAGGGGCAGGGACCGGGGGAGGGGCAGGGGAAGTCAAGGAAAGCTTCCTGGAAGAAGGGCCTTTGTCCAAGTCCTAAAGGATGAGGCTGGGGGAGAGGAGTACACAGTTACAACACTCCAGGCAGAGGGAACAGCGTGGCCAAAGGAGAGGGAGCACCGAACCGATCCATCCATATAGCCAAAACATGGGCCACAGCCACAAAATATGACGCCAGAGAAAGGGGCAGAGACACGGCCATGATGGGCCTCAAATGCCAAGCTGAGGAGCTTGGCATCAATGCCAAGGGCATTAGGGAGCCCTGGAAGGTCTGGAGCAGAGGAAGGACAGGGTCAGATAGGAGTGTCATTAGAACCCTTGCGGGACGGTTGGTTCTGGGAAGAGACTGGAGGGAGAGACTATTTGCGATGTCCCAGGGGGAAGAGGGCGAGGCCTGAGTTGAGACTGTGTGAATCATAGCAACAAAGCAATAATATTAATAAAACAATAGCAACTGCTTATACAGGTCTTGCCCTGTGCCAGGCACTGTTCTCAGTGCTGTATATGTATTAACTTATTGAACCCTACCAGCGGTCCTTCCACAGAGGTACCACCTTTATCACCACTGACAGTTGAGGGAATAGAGGCACATGGAGAAGGTGGGGGGGAGGTGTCTGGTTTGAGACATCTTAAGAGTCAGATATCATGTCCTCAAGCTGAACGTCTTTTAAAGAGCAGCCATGCCAAGTGTGGCTTACGGAGGTTATGGGGTCCCTGCCCTAAATCAATCCAAGTCATCCCTACCAGCATCTTCTCCCAGATAAACATTTGTGTGCCCACCACACCCAAAATAAATCTAAATTCCTTCCATTGCCTACAACAGGGTTCAGCCAACAGCAGCCCATGAGCTTCATCCAGCCCACCTCCTGTTTTTGTAGGGCTTACTAGCTAAGAATGGCTTTTACACGATCAAATTGTTGAAAAAAAATCGAAAGAAGAATGATATTTTGTGGCATGTAAAAAAGTATATGAATTTCATTTGGCAGTTCCTCAAAGTGTTAAAGATAGAATTACCACATGACCCAGCGATTCCACTGCTAGGTATCTCTACCCAAGAGAATAGGAAACATATGTTCACACAAAAACTTTGCATGAATGTTTGTAGCAGCATTCTTCATAATAGCCGAAAAGTGGAAACAACCCAAGTGTCTATCAACTAAATGGATAAACAAAATGTGGTATAGCTGTATAAAGGAATATTATTCAGCCAAAAAAAGGAATGAAATACTGATTTATACTGCCACATGGATGAACTTGGAAAATAAGCAAAAGAAAGAAGGCAGATACATACTGTATGATTCCATTTATATGCCATGTCGAAAATAGGCAAATCCATAGAGAGAGAAAGTGGATTAGTGGTTGCCAAGGAGCGGGGTGGAGGGGAGATTCCCACTGGCTGTCGTTAAAGGGTATGAGCTTTCTTGCTGGGATGATGAAAATGGTGCAAAACCAGGTAATGGGGATGGTCGCACAACCTTGCAAATATACTCAAACCACCGAATTATGTGAACTTTATGTTTTGTGAATTGTAATATCTCAGTTTAAAAAGTATACGGATTCCGCATGTCAGGGTCTATAAATAAAATGTTACTGGCTCCCAGCCACAACCCTTTGCTTCCGTGTAGCCTCCGCCTGCAGTGGCAAGGTAAAACAGTCGTGGCAGAAACTGTACAGCCAGGAAAACTGAAAATGTTCATTATCAGGCCTTTTACAGAAAAACTTTCCTGACCCTGGACTGCAATGCCTATGCGGTCTGTGCCCCACCGGCCTCATCCCTGGACAGTTTCTCCTTGTTCCCTCTACTTAGATCACATGACTTCCTCATGCTTCCTTGAACACATCAAGCTGATTTCTGCCTCAGGCCTTTGCTCTTGCTCTTCCCCCCAGCTGTATTGCTCTTCCTCCAGCTTTTTCCATGTCTTTCTTTCACTTCATTTACATCTCTCCTCCCTTGTCACTTCTTTAGAAAGGCCTTCTTTGAGCTCTTTGTTTAAAAAGAAAAACGTGGGGGCACCTGGGTGGCTCAGTCGGTTAAACGGCTGACTCTTGATTTTGGCTCAGGTCATGATCTCAGGGTCCTGGGATCGAGCCCTGTGTAGGGCTCCATGCTCAGCAGGGAGTCTGCTTGAGGATTCTCTCTCTCTCCCTCCACGTGCTCCCTCCACAACCCACCCCCCCCACTCTCTCTCTCTCTCTCAAATAAACAAATACATCTTTTAAAAAAATGCTCCTTTACTCAGAATAAGAAAAATGTTGATGGCAACTGTGAAGAGATGTCATTTCTCATCCATCAGGTCATCAAAAGTTAAAAAGCTTCACAACATACTCTTTTGGTGAGGCCGGAGAAACAGAAGCTCTCACATGCTGCTGGTGGGAATGCAAAATGGCCCAGCCCCAGTGGAGGGGAATCTGGCCATAACTAGCAAAACCACACGTGTATCTGCCCTTTAACTCCACAATCTCACTCGAAGAATTTACCCTGCAGCTATCTGTGCAACCATACAAAAGCACACAGAGGCATGCTAATTCACCTCATTAGCCGTAACTGCAAAATCCTAGAAACGACCTACATGCATTTACACAGAGGATTAGTGGGATAAACTGTAGAACATCACGGAGTAGAGGACTGTGCCATTGTGAAGTGAAAATGAGGAAGGTCTCTGTGACCTGGAGTGGAGTTCAATGATAGACCCAGACGCTTTCACTCAGTTAAAAAAAAAAAAAAGTAATGCACAAAACAGTATCCAGGATGCTAGCTTTTAAGCAAAAATAAATAAATAAAATACATATGTGCGTCTGCTGATTTTTGCAAAAAGAGACACAGTAAGGAAAACCAACAAATGAGGTTGATCACCTACAGGAGGAAAGTGAGAACAGGAAGTCAGTGGCCATCCTCTGAGCATGTATTTTTGCATGATTTGGACCCTTGGAAGAATGTCAATATTTTATATATTCGAAAGCTAAAATCAACAAGGATGGGGGAAGAAACCTAAAGTTGAATACAAACAAAAATAAATGAAGCTATGGGGCGCCTGGGTGGCTCAGTCGTTAAGCGTCTGCCTTCGGCTCAGGTCATGGTCCCGGGGTCCTGGGATCGAGTCCCTCATCGGGCTCCTCATCGGGCTCCCTGCTTCACAGGAAGCCTGCTTCTCCCTCTCCCACTCCCCCTGCTTGTGTTCCCTCTCTCGCTGTCTCTCTCTCTGTCAAATAAATAAATAAAATCTTTTAAAAAAATAAATGAAGCTAACTTTATATCAAATGAATGATACAACCACAGGAGGTGGTAAAAGTAGTATTCTAAGTAACTTTCAAATACAGTACTTTGATTATATATTTCATTCTAAAGACAAAAGATCTGCAAAGAAATCTTGAACCTTAGTACATTTCTGGGGAAATGGTTTAGAGGTAGCAGCTCTTAAGCAGTGTGGGGCTGAGCAAATTTGCAAATATACTGATGTTTAGGGAGCTGGATTCTGGTGCCGAAAAAAGGAAGACACAGATCAGAATGGGGTAAGATGAAGAAGACCCCAGGTGTTAGTAAAAACCTCCTGTTTTACAAGCATATAATTCCCCAATTTGTGTCCTGAAACATCCTAGAGACAGAGTAGCAAAGAGCCCACCTAGCACCGAACTTTTGATCTCTAATATCATCCCCCACTAAATAAGAAGCTAGGGCTTCCAGAAGAAATAGCTCATTTGAAGCCTGGGGGAGAGGCAGTAAAAGTGCACTTGTGCCACAAAGGAAGGAAAAACTCAAAAAATGAGACGGACACGGCAGAAGAGGATGCAGGGACTGGCTTGAAGGGGGTTCCTGACAGTCCAACTAGGGACAATTTGAACATCAAAATGAATAATAGAAGTAATGGCATATATTGGGGCACCTGGGTGGCTCAGTCAGGTAGGTGGCTGACTCTTGATTTCAGCTCAGGTCATGATCTTGGGGTCATGGGATTGAACCCCCCGGGGTGGGCTCCATGCTCAGTGGGGAGTCTGCTTCTCTCCTTCTCCCTCTGCCCGTCCCACCCAGTGGGGATGCTCACATGTGCATCACACTCTCTCTAAAATAAATCAATAGGGCACCTGGGTGGTTGTTAAACATCTGCCTTCAGCTCAGGTCATGTTCCCAGGGCCCTGGGATCGAGTCCCGCATCGGGCTCCCAGCTCAGCAGGGAGTCTGCTTCTCCCTCTACCTCTCCCCCCTGCTTGTGATCTCTCTGTCTCTCACTCTCTTTCTCAAATAAATAAATAAAATCTTTTTTAGAAAAATTTAAATAAATAAATCTTAAAAACAACAACAAAAAAAAGAGGGGCACCTGGGTGGCTCAGTTGGTTAGGTGGCTGCCTTCAGTTCAGGTCATCAAGTCCCACATCAGGCTCCTTGCTCAGCAGGGAGCTGCTTCTCCCTCTCCCTCTGCTCCTTCCCCCCCACCGGCAAATAAATAAATAAAATATTTTTAAAAAATGGCATATAACTTGCTGAATTTTTAAAAATGTGAACCCATACTGATATATTTTTTAAAAAATAAACAAATAATAAAAGAAAAGAGAAAATTATTTTTTTCGGTGGTATACCTATAGATGGAACAGCAGATTTAGAAAACCCCATTTTGCAACCCTA